ATCCAGCGGGGGCCAAGAAAAAAAGCCTGAACTGATGAGGTAACGAGAGGAATATGGTTCAGCTGAAGGATAACATGAAAAAATTTTTAAAAAGTGCCCAGACATTTCTATCAAGCACATTCAAAAGGAAAGGATATGCTTTGGAGAAAGGAGCTGTGCTTGCAGCCTTGGAGCAGACGTGCAAAGGGCTACAGGGAGGGACAGAGGGACAGGAGACACAGGTGGGCCCTAATGCCCATCCATGGCACAAAGCATGAGGACAGGCAAGCCCATTTACACTCTGCAGGCACTGATAGATAATCACAGCTGGATTTTGACTGTCTATAGCACCATCTCCGAGGTGGAGTCTTTATATAGACAATTCATGCTCGAGAATCTCCCTGCCCTGAGATCATTAGCTTAAGATCTCCTTAATCTTCTTCTGCTTTGCATCTCAGATATGTCTTGTTCAAGGGAAGGGCAGGAGCTTGAGGAAAAGCAATCTGCTGACATACTGGGAGTCATTTTGGGGTAGACAGTGGAGATGATCCAGGTATGAGGAGGATAGATGCACTTAGACATGATGGGCCAGAGGTCTATCTCAGAGAGGATTGACACAAATTTGGAGAAACTGAAAGAATATCCATATGCATAGCCAGAATTAAACAGAGACCTAGCTCTGCCCAAGACATCTTGGAACAAATCCACCACAGCTAATTGACTACTCAGACCTATTCTTAGCTTATGTGATAGGTATTTATAGCGCACTGGATACAATGGAAGATATTACAGAACGTAGTCAGTTGGTGCACAGCCTCTTGATAGCTATCCTGCACACTAACCACGTAACATTTCAGGTATGATTAAATAGTACTGGAAAAGTGTACGACAAAACATGAAATTTTTTCCATGTCCTTAATGCCAATATCCTAATATAAAAAGCAGGACAAATAAAAGAGGAATTCCCCAACAAAGAGACCATCAAGGTGGACATAATTCTGGAAATTGGATTATAGGACATAACACAGTGCAGAGAGAAGAAGGAACCCTGAAAATCCTTTAGTTGCATCTTCTAGAAAAGTACAACTGAAGTATTTTAAATAACAGTCTGGTGAATGTTTCCCAGTTCTCATTAGTAACAGAGTTCTCAAAATTCCAAATTCTTGGGCCACAAAGATGTTACACTAAAGTGAGTGGGAGAAATCCACTTCTATGAGAATATATGAGAATCTTTTTCCTAAAGCACCATCAGGGATATCAATTTTCAAAGCCTAAAGCAATTTCTTGCCCTATTTTCAAAGGCATTTTTTCTTGCCCTATTTTCAAAGTCTAAAGCAATTTCTTGCCCTGGCTATTTAAGGGAGAATATAAAAATGCAAAGTGATCTCAACAAAGTCAGTCTAACCAAGTTAAGTGTAAAACAGCTCTCCACAGAATGATGAAAACTGCAGAAGAAATGATCTCTGATACTACTGGCCTCTCCTCATCTCCCCACCCCCTCAAGTTATTTATGCAGGCAAAAGCAAGACAATGAGCTAAAAACCACAGCAGCCTAAAATTACCCGAGCTACATGTAAAACAGGATTTTTAATTTTTAAATATAAAAAGTCTTCTAATGATCACATCAAAGATGTATTACTCCTCCACTTTTAAATTAAAAATTTAACAATTTCTACTCTTGAAGAAAACAACTGCTGCATTCTCAAACTATTTAAAGTCCTGAACAGATGTAGAGCTTGCATCATTGCAACCACATAGAGAAATACTTCCACTGTGTAAGAAGAAAAATACAGTCTTTGTAGCTTAATTCTAAGAAAAAAAATACTTAAATTTATTGGTGTCATGCCAGTTTATGGTATATGGTGCTGGATTATTTCTAAAACCAGCCATCAGAAGCACCCAGCTCAATAGAATGAGGCAGAAAATTTTCACTATTTAATTGGTACCGGGTTAAGTGCTAAACTCATTTGGATGCAGTTAAATGTGGTAGCAGAGTATAATAGATGTTGGCTCCATCTATTTTAAGACCAACGATGCTTCCTGTCTCCAAGTTCTAGACATATATGATGGATACAGCTCAAATCCATTCTGGGCAGAGACTCCAGTCTGCCTTATCCTCTTCCAAACCCCTGGTTTCCAAGCAAAGGACATGTTCCATGCAGACCCTGAGTGCTGAAGAGCTGCGGAGAATCCCTTAAGTGACTGGGTTTACTGCAAAGCACCTTTCCTCTCACTACATCACAGGTGCTGGGTACCCAGTGTCAGTGAGAGTCAGCTTTTACCATGTGGGATGTGTGGAAAAAAAATACTTATCAAAAGGATGGACCTGGAGTTCAGACACACTCTTGGAGTTTGCTGTCAAGTGCTTAATTTCTTCATTTAAAAAATTAACTTATGGAAGACACACAATCACCAATACCTCAAAACAAGTGCCAGCTACACTGTGCAAAGCCCACCCTCCACTACCCAAAAGAGGCCACTACTTAATAAGAGAATTATTTCTAGATCTTTTCAATTGGAACACTTGCAGCCTAAACTGTCCTTTGCCTAGTCGTTAGCAGTTGATGTACATGTGTCTTGGTCAGTTTGTCGTTGCCCTAAATGACGAATTTTCCTAAAATGAAAAGGATGCATGCTCTCACTGGTTTTAATTTCAGAAGGCAGGAAAGCATCTATTGGTAGGAGGTGCTATTGGGAAGTTATTGTTGTAGTTGGCTGTCTACATCATTTTTACTTTCCCTTCCTTAAGGGAATGTTTGCTAGACTAAATAGAATTTCAGATACCTCTATTGTTTGGGCTATGAAATGGATACTGTCAGCTGATATATGGGAATGGAATAGAAGATATTAAAGTGCTTTCTGGGGTCTTCCAGGATAAGCATTTTGGGTCAACTGAAAAAAAAAAAAGTTGATGAGAATTTTGATAAGATATAACAGGAAAATGGTATCTTAGTATTTGTTATAAGTAAAGGGAAATGGAGAATGGAGGAAATAGATGCAAAATTTCTTCGCATATGGCAAAGGTAAAGAAGAAGGAATCTGCCTGGATAAAAATCAACTTAAATATGACCTCTTCTTTGCAGCGTTTTAATAATGAAGTAATTTTTTTCCCTTCTTGCTGCATTTCAATTTTTCTTTCTAGCTTTCTATATTTGCATTTTATTCAATTTGAGCAACAAATTAGATTGGTCAATGTCCTTTTATGTTCAGAGACATCTGGAAATGTCTACAACTGTTAAAGACATAACTACTACCACCAAAATTGCACCAGGATATGTCATATTAATTTACATTTTCATCTCAGGTAATATCTTATTCCTTTCTTTGAGAAATCTTTCCTACAATGGTGACCCACTATGGCTTTATATCTCATTCTCCAAAATTCTGGAATGGCTTAACATTAAAGGTTAATTGCCTACAGTTTCCTTCCCCCACTATTTGTTTGTTAATTTTCACCCACCTATGATTGGCTGCATCCTTCCACTACAGCTGGGCAGTCCATGGGGAAAAGACTTATCTTTACTATCTTTCCATACAGAATCACTCACTGTGATGTCACTTCCAAGCATGAAACTGGTAGCTAGAGATAGACCATGAAATGATATCATTTATCAAGAGCAAATGAATGAACCCCAGCGTGTGCAGAGCTGTTGTGATATCTTGGCCCTGAATGTTTCAGCTGTGGATATGAAGCAATTTGATTAAGGGGTACAGCTGCACTCTGTTTTCCTGGTTTTACAGCATCAATACAATATTGCCCAGCCCACTGTGCTTTGCATTAGCACAACATGATAACATATTTTTCAAAATCTGTTTGTCAAAGAAACTGACAGAATCGTAGAATTACCTAGATTGGAAAAGACCTTTAAGATCATTGAGGCAAATCATTAGCCTAACACTGAATACTCCTTGACTAAAATGTATCTCTAAGTGTTTTGTCTACATGATTCTTAAATACATCCAGGGATGGGGACTCCATCACTGCCCTTGGCACCCTGTTCCAATGCTTTACCACTCTTTCAGTGAAGAAATTTTAACTAATACCCAATCTAGACCTCCTCTGCTGCAACTTGAGCCCATTTCTTCTTGTCCTATTGCTAGTTACTTGGGAGAAGAGACTACCACTCAACTTCCTACAACCTCCTTTAAGGTAGTTTTAGAGAGCAATAAGGTCTTTCCTCAGACTCCTTTTCTTCAGGCTAAACAACCACAGTTCTTTCAGCTGTTCCTCATAAGACTTGTTCACCAGACCCTTCACCAGCTTTGTCACCCTTCTTTGGACATGATATAGCACCTCAATGTTCTTCTTGTAGTGAGAGGCCCAAAACTGAACACAGTACTTTTGATGTGGCCTCACCAGTGCTGAGTACAAGGAGACATCTCACAGCTCTCAAAAAACCACATGAAATAAAGCCATGTCAATGAGTTCTAAGGATAGAACTCCTGCTTAAGTTCAATTAATCTACACAAAAAGGAACAAATTAACAACTTGCATGATGGCCATAAATAAACTACACATCTCAGGAATTTTCTAAGCCCTTTTTGTCACATGTTGCAGACAAACAAATTTGCCCATGTCAGTATGAATTATGATGATGGGCAGGGGACAGGCAGCACAAACAGCTTGCTGTAATGGAAACACAGAAAACACATTGTAGGTGATCAGGATCAGCCCACAGCTCTGTGCAGTCAGCAGGATGTCAGCCCAAGGCTTCAGGGGCTTGCAGAGCCAGCAGCATCAGCACAGCACCGGATGACCAGCTGGCAGGAGCTAGCAGAGCACAAAGTGACACAAAAGACAAAACTATGGAAAAAGACATTATAAGAGTCTCTCAGTTAAGTGGAGAGTTTGTGTTAAACTGTCATCTCATGTAATTATATGAATAATTTCTTTTCAGACCACAACTTTTAACATTTTCCCCTCGTGTTCCTGCTACAGTTCTTGCAGTATTATTCCTCTAGTCACAAATGAGCATTTGATTACAGTACGTACCCAAGCAAGAAATGACCAACCATCTCACCTATGACAGATACACATCCCAGTGGAGCGACAAGGGCAATGGGGGCAAATCCGTAGGCGGTGAAATTGCCCACCTCTCCAAGTCCCAGGAGGGTAATCCCACACCACCATAGCTTGCTCATGTAGTAGGGCTTCAGCTCTGTTTGGCAAGCCAGTTGGAGATGAGCACATTTCTACAAAATTAATTATTAGGAACAGGCATGAAAAGAAATACTTCCATTGTGTTCTTATGTCTGACAAAAGTAGAATAATTAAAGGGGCTGTCAACTTCGAATTTCAGGTGCGTCAAGGTTTTCTTTTTAAATATGACTTTCAGCTTGTTGTTGCAGACACACTGCTTTGTGTTAACTCAGTGCTGCTTCAGATGTTGTTCTTTCTTAGCCACGGTGGAAGTGACTGAAAAATTAGACCTCTGAATAAACCTGAAAAATATAAAACGAATACTAGCTTGTGCTTCCTAGCTATCACTGCACACCTCTGTTCTTCTCTCAAAGCAAAGCTCGGCAGCTGTGCTGTGAACCTGGAAACACTCAAAGGCAGGAGACGAGGCGTAATCAAAACTGTGGCAACCAGCTGGGAGAAGGGGACCAGAGAACAAGGTGTTTCTGCTCCATGATACATATCCTCACCAGAAATACAATTTAAAAATGAAAAGGGCAGCACTTAATCACATCTGCTGTAGGGAGGATACTAAATTAATTAGGTAGAATATAGGATTTGTCTACAATCTTGTGTTTGACCTTAGAAGATCTCAGGTAAAACATTATTGTCAGAAGGAAAGCCAGCTATACCTGTAACAATAAACATAATATACAATCAAGTAATACTTCTTCAAAACTTCTTATTACATGGAGAAGGCATCATTGACACATTGTAATTGTTTTCTCTCTGGCTGTAGAACAAGAACCGGTATATAACATGATAATTTGATTTTGATCACACTGGTCTTCTGAAAGAGACTCCAGGCAGTCTCCACCAGGAAAGCATCATGATTGGGAAGGATGCAATGTTTACCATGTTAGTTCTGTCAAGTATTTTTTCCTTTCTCAGATTCCTCACCAGCCTCTCTGCACATGGGTCAAAAAAGCTGGAATCCAAGTGATACCATTATTGTAATATAAATGGTGGTAATAGACCTTTTTTTTCCTCTCTCCATCACTTGATATTTGCCTTTCAAACTGTCCCTAGACAGCCCCAGGAAGGTTGTAAACAATTTTGCTCATACTCCCATTCTAATATGTAGGCTACTCTACAGAGTACGGGTGGAACAGTAACACCTGTGATACACCACAGTCTCAGTTGTTCCTCTTGTTGAGAGGATGCAGTGCGTTATTGCAGCTTCATACTGTGGAAAATGTTCAGGGGTTGAAATTCCAGGAGGAACTTTAGCCCTCCAAGGAGAAAAGGAACATAAGGAAATCAAACTTCCCTGAGCCACAGATTAGCATTTCACAGTAACATCCAGAATTTTGCAGATTCCATTTTTATGAAAAAAAAATCAATAAAAAACCCCAAGGCAAATAAAGATCCAATTGAAACTAATATTATATAATATTCAAATCAATAATTCAAGTTTCTGCTGAAAAACAAATAAGAAAAGTTCTTAACTGAATCCTGAACTCTGCTTTCTCCCCAGATTCTTGTAGGAACAACTCTTTTAGGCACAGTGTGGTTGAAAAGATGTGGATGAACACAGGATGGTGAGATCAGCAGCTCCCATACAGCCTTCTCTCTCCAAATGTCTGCCTTGTTTGTATAGCAGTGTGTGTGGATGGTATTTAAGTGGAGGCTGTTTATAGTCCAACTGAAATACATTGCAAATGGTGGGTTGCTCTTTAGCTGACAACCTGCTAGAGGGAAGAGAGGGAGGATAACTGACTACATGGTAGGAAAGGGAAAAAGAATGATAACATTTGGCCTGTGCATTTAGTATGAGTGCAAAAATAAATGTTGAGAACTAGGGAAAGTCATTATTCATATTTATAAGATATTGTTACTAAATGGAGAAAAATCTGTTTTAAAGGATAGATAAAAAATTCAGTTGAAACTGTCTGCCAAATGGCAATACAGAGCTCTTGGGTTTCCCTAAACAGCATTAAAAAAGCTAGAAGACAGTTCAAATCCAGCAAATGCTGCTAGTGATTACAAGTCAACAGAAGTCTGTCTGCATGCCTCAGTACATCCCCTGGCATTGCATCCGCTTTGGCACTCAGTGCCCTCAGCAGACAAAAGATATGAAGCCTGAGCAACCTTGTTATTGTGGCCTAGACTGAACTTCTACTCTACCAACAAGTTTTTCCATTGAAGCAGAGCCTGTCCTAGTACTGTCCCCATCCACAGGTTGGAACTTATGTTGGGGTGGCAGCGGTCATCAAAACCTGGCTAAACAGATGTCTTTCTGTGGAATTCTCCAACTAGAGATCCTTAAAAGAGAATGGAATCATTGAAGAACCTCCCAGTATTAATTAAATGGGCTATTATGAATAGATTTCATATTCCACAGCTTTCTGTTTCATCCTTTGCGGAAAAGGCAAGAAGCACCTTTATGTTGAAAATAGACATCTCATTAAATACAAGCTACAAAAAATACTTTTTCTGGACAACTTACACAACAATGTCTTCTGCACTTCAAAACCTTTTATTAGAAGACCTAATAAATACCACGAAATCTAGACGATACAGATTATAATGAATTATATAACTTTCTGCAGAGTATGTATTCTATTTGTTAATACAGAAAGGATTTTATAAATCTCATCCTACAACCCTTTGCCATAGTCGTAAGTTCAGCACCTCCCATTGCTTCTATGATTTAAAATAATATTTATTCAAATAATTTTATCTTAATTGCAGAGGGAAAACTAAATTGGTCACAGTTGTTTTGGGGTCAAATGTTGCAAAAAATTTTATGCCTCTATGCATTTAATTGCATTGATTGTTCATTAAGCAACACCTAACACTTTGTGGCCAATTCCATTTTACATTTGGACACTGAGACAGGCTCTTGCTATGTCCAGTGGGATCACAAGCAGGTCACAGCTGGTATTTTCTTATGGCACATTACAAGGACAAGGAGGTGTTATAAATTTTTATTCTTTTCCCATATAAGAAGCACGGCAAAGAACAGACTGAGAGCTGTCACACTGCCAATAACTACAGTAGGGCACTGTTAAACTACAGTTACAGAGAGGGTATGTTAAATGCAGCAAAATTTGTATTTTTAACCATAAAAAAAAAGTTACTTGCTAAATAAAACCAGCCCTGGATAAAGAGAAATAATTTCATACCTGTATATTCAAAGAGACACTAATCAGAAAATTTGAAGCAGCAGCAAGTAAAACTCCAAAGAGCTGAGTCTGCAAGATCACAAATCAAAGAAATACAAACATACTTGTTAGTTTAAGAACAACAATGTAATGGTTGTTTTTTGATAGCATATTGTAGCCTAATTAAAATCAAATTATTGCATTTTTCAGTCACTGAGTCCATGCTGCACTAAGTAAACAGATAAAAAATATCCCTGCACAGTTGACATGCTCTTAAGCAATTAACAACTGGGAATGGCAAGAGCATCACAGTGCAGAAGGTGGTTTTGCTGTCTTTCAGTAAAACACGTTAAATCTCATGATAGAAATAACTAGACAGTTCTCAGTTGAACACTGCACAGAAGTATTCTTCTTTTCCAGAACAAAGGGCCTGTTTTGTTACATAAACCAGAAGGAAAAACAACAGCAGTCAAACCATTCATAGTGGAACACAGTTATCTTATGTGTTAACAGGGCAGCCAGAATCATAGGTCTCCTGACAGTTTCTTTTATGTATTGTGGTATTTCATCAAATTCTTCTCTAATCAGCCTAATTTTCAGTAAAATTTTGCAGACTTTCTATGAAGCTGAGAAATTAAAAATATTCAAGCAGGATTCATTATTCTGGAAAGCAGCCATTTAAAGATGCCATCTCAGCAAGCTCAAATAATAGGTACACGGTAGAGCTCCCTGACTACTTTCAAGTTGTTAATGTCATAAGTGTGTTCAAGACCCATTCAAGGTTGCTGGCCTAGAGCTATGAGGAGCCTTATTAGCTTGTAAAGAAGACATATTATCACTTGATTTTTATAAACAAGGTCATGTCAACATAACCCATCATAACCACTGCCTGCAGTGCCAACTTGGTTCTCACAGCCTCAGCTTTCATAACTCTTCTCCAAGAAGGTCCCTGGGCACCTATGAACAGGCAGTGCCTACCAGCCATGGAGACTGTTGCCCATCAACATTTATAAAGAGCAATATGGGGTCCAGAAATCTCTTGGAGTGGGGGATTATTGTTGTGGCCAGATAATTCCCAAACCAAGAAAGATTATCACCAAAAGTGTAACAGAACAGCATCCGTATTACAAATGGATAATAAAATTCTTATTTAAGAGACACAGCTGAATCCAACTGTCTCTAGCCCATGCATTTCTGTGGTGGCTTAGACTCTGGAGGAGAAGCAGACAGGAGAACTACTCTGGGTGAAATGCGTGGATGACTGCCAGGTGTCACCAATATGTGACTGACAGGTATAAGGGGATGTAGAGAAGAGAACGAATAGAATCACAGAATATAGGAGGTGAAAGAGTTCCCTTTGCTTACACACCCTCTGTGCTGAGTATCACAGCATCAGTGCCACAGTCTATGTACAAGAAGCGATCAGTGAGAAGCATTACCCAAGAATTTTGCTTATACACCCTGGTTCCTGGCCAGTGGAGGTCCTTTCCATCTTGTATCCTCTCTCTGCACCCCAGTATCCTCCAGCTGATGTTCTAGCAGTGTCCTGGGCTCTCACATACACTGCATTTCCCATGCTCTGCAAACACCTCTCATTGGGACCAGTGTGGAGTGTGTGACAAGACATCTCAGCACACCTCAGCACAGATGTCTCTGCAGAGATCAGTCACTGTTACAGGGACATGAACAGCCTTGCAGCCTCCTTCCACACTGGGGAAATACTGTCAAACAGTCCCCACTCAGGACTCTGCAGGAGCACAGGTGACGAGTTCTCCTTCCTGAGGCTTTGATGCTGTAGCATCAAATCCTGAGCATTGATCTTGCACAAAATTTTACCGCTTCACAGGTCAAACTCCCTTCATCATCTTACACACACAGCAGCTTCAATAAAACAGCAGTTAAATCAAAATCGGTTTCTTGCTCCCAAAGACCTGTTCTTTTCAAATGACAAAATGCTCCCTTGTGAGGAGGTGGAGAAGTGGCCTTGTAAGCCTCATCATGAAGGGTTTAAGAAAAAAGAGGCAGCAGGGAATAGAAAACAGAAACTACCACCTCATTTACACCATCATTTTATTGCTTTCACATCGGTAGTTGTCATACATCCACATCACTCCCAGCAGAGAACCCAGTCTCGCTGCATCTCTTTTCATTTCAGCAGCTGATCCTACCCTTGTGGCTGCATTTCTGGATAATCCTTGCTCCCAGCTTTCAG